ATAGCTTCACTCATAAATTCTACCAAACATTTAAAGGAAGGATTAATGCCAATCCTTCTCAAAATTCTTCCCCCCCAAAAAAAAAAAAAACTGAAGAGGAAAAAATACTTACAAATTCATTTTATGAGGCCAGCATTACCCTGAAACCAAGGCCAGACAAAAACACCACAAGAAAAGAAAACTGCAGGCCAATATCCCTGATGAACATAGATGCAAAAATTCTCAACAAAATACTAGCAAACTGAATCCAATAGCACATTACAAGAATCATACACCATGACTAAGTGGTACTTATCCTTAGAATGTAAGGATGGTTCAACAACTAAAAATCAGTTAATGCAATACACCACATTAACTATATAACGGATAAAAATCATGTGATCATCTCAATAGATGCAGAAAGTGTTCGACAAAATTCAACAGCCTTTCATGATAAAAACTCTCAACAAACTAGGAATAGAAAGAAAGTACCTCTGCCAGATGGGATAGAGCTATTAGGAAGTAGACATTGGCAGTTGCAAAACAGTCATGGGATGTAAAGTACAGCATATAGAATACAGTCAATAGTATTGTAATAACTATGTATGGTGTCAAGTAGGTACTAGACTCATCAGGGGGATCAACTTCGTAAGTTTATATAACTGTCTAACCACTACGCTGTACACCTGAAACTAATATATTGAATGTCAACTGCAATTAAAAAATAAATATAAAAAAGGAAGGAAAGCACCTCCACATAATAAAGGTCATATATGAAAAGTCCACAGTTGACATCATCCTCAATAGTAAAAAACTGAAAGCTTTTCCTCTAATATCAGAAACAAGGCAAGGATGCCTACACTTGCCACTTCTATTCAACAAAGTACTGGAAGTCCTAACCAGAGCCATAGGCAAGAACAAGATGTAAAAGGTATCCAAATTGGAAAGGAAAAAATAAAATTTCTGTTTGCAGATAACATAATCTTATATATTGAAAACTCTAAAGAGTCTACCAAAAAAGTTAAAACTAATAAATTCAGTAAAGTTGCCGAATACGAAATCAACATGCAAAAAAATCAGTTGCATTTCTATACACTAACAACAAACTATCTGAAAAGGAAATAAGGAAAACAATCCCATTTACAATAGCACCAAAAAGAACAAAATACTTAGGAATAAACTTAACTAAGGGGGTGAAATGCTTGTCTATTGAAAACTACAAGTGACTGAAGAAATTAGAGAAGACACAATCACGGGAAGGCATCCCATGTTCACGGAGTAGAAGGCTTACTATTGTTTAAATGACCATACTACCCAAATCTATCTACAGATTCAATGCAACCCCGATAGACATCCCAATGGCATTTTTTCTCCCACAAAAATAGGAAAAAAGAATTCTAAAATTCATATGGAACCACAAAAGACCATGAATAGCCAAATCAGTCTTGAGAAATAAGAATAAAGCTGGAAGCATCACCCTTCCTGATTTTAATATATATATTACAAAGCTATAGTAATCAAAACTGTACGGAACTGGCAAAAAGACAACATATAGACCAATGGAACAGAATAGAGAGCCCACAAATAAGCCCATGCACATATGGTCAACTGACATTGGTCAACAAGGGTGCCAAAAATACACAATGAGGAAAGGACCATCTCTTCAATAAATGGTGATGCTGGGAAAACTGGACATCCACATGCACAAGAATGAAACTGGGCCCTTATCTTACACCATACAGAAAAACCAACTCAAAACGGATTACACAGAAGACCCGAAACTGAAACTCCTAGCAGAACACACAGGGGTTGAAAATTTATATCCACATAAAAACCTGTGCACAGCAGCTTTACTCATAAATTGCCAAAATTTGGAAGCAACCAAGATGCCCTGAAATAGGGGAATGGATAAATAAACTCTGGTACGTCCAGACAATGGAATAGTATTCAGTGCTGAAAACAAATGAGCTATCAAGCCATGACAAGACAGGGAGGAAACTTAGGCATATGACTAAGTGAAAGAAGTCAATCTACATAGAACTCTGTGACATTCTGGAAAAGGCAAGACTATGAAAACAGTAAAAAGATCAGCAGTTGCTGGGGGAGAGAGGGAATAAATAGGCAGAGCACAGAGGATTTCTGGGGCGGTGAGAATACTATTTGATACGATGATGATTAAGCCACATTATTATACACGTGTCCAAACCCAGAGACTATACGACACCAAGAGTGAGCCCTAATGTCAACGGTGGGCTTTGGGTGATGATGCTGTTTCAGTGTAGGTTCATCGGCTGTAACAAATGCACCACTCTGGTTAGGATACTGATAGTGGGGGTGAGGGTGGGGTAGGGAAGGGGCTGTGCATGTGTGGGGACAAAAGGTATATGGGATATCTCCGTACCTTCCACTCGATTTTGCTGTGAACCTAAAACTGCTCTGAAAAAACATTAAGTGGTTTTTAAAAAGGACGAAGTAACAATAAAAAGCTCTTGGAAATTAAGGGCATTATAGCCTAAATAAAATATCCAATAGAAGAGTTAGAAAACCAAGTTAAGGATATATTCCAGGAAACTGCAGAGAGAAAAGGAGAGGGTTGGTCCAGGCAGGGGCCATGTTCATTTGTACGAGTTAGGCAAGTAAGAAGATAGAGAAGATGAAACAGTCCCAAAGATGTAACACAGCATGTTTGCCGGAACCAAAAAGCATGTATTTCAGATGGAAAGAGGCCACCATCCATTAGCACAGGGCACCAAGGCAGATAATTGTCACGTTTGAGGAATTAAGGTCTAAAAAGAAGATATTAAAGGCTTTCTGATGGGCCAGCCGAGTGGCGCGTTGGTTAAGAGCTGGCTTGGGATGCCAGAGGGCCCCGGTTCGGATCCCACATATGAAGGCCAGTGACACTGCCCTCTACAGCTAAGATGCTGAACAACAACTCAACCTGGAGCTGGGTTGTCGTTAAGTTGCCGGCGACAGCATAGGCTGCAGCCCCTGCTGCAGTGGGTTGCCATGGGTTACCGTGTGTAGCCAGCAGCCAGCGTGAGTGGCCAGCAGCTGCTGTGAGCGGCCATCCAGAAGCCAGCGACTGATCTGCCTCGCCTGGGAAGAGCGCAATGATGGTGCCAACTTGGGCCAATGAAGCAACGTCCTCCACAACTAGACTGAAGAACAAAACGACAGCAACTTTTCTGTTCCCCTTCCCTCAATTCCCCAGTGCTGTTCCCATCCCCCAATTCCCCAATAAAAATCTTTTTAAAAATAAATAAAGGCTTTCTGAGATTTAAAACAAAAACAAAAAAGCTAGGTCACATAAACAGGAACTAGGACTTGGAGCATCTCCATGGTTACACTAGGAGGTGCAGATGACGGGGTGGTGTCTCCAACATGCCGAATGAGGAGCAGTGAACAGAGAATCCACGGTCTGGTGAAACCATCAACCCAAGGTCAGGGTAGAACAAGGAATTTTTTGGACAGGCTAAAAGCTTGAAAATTTTGAATAATGCGCCTCTCCTCAAAGAACTACTTAGGGAATATATATATTGTAAAAGATGAAGAATCCAAGAGATGTAGAACCCAGGAAGCCAGAGACTGCACGCAGGAGTCTCAGAAAGACAGCCATGCAGCACACCTGCAGAAGCCAAGGCAGCCAGGAGCAGGAGTGGAGGGCTGAGGGGGCCGGGCCGGAGAGGCTTGTTGGGGCAGGACAGAGGCTTGTTGGGGTGGAGGAAGGCTGAGTGACAGATATACAGGGCACGCACGAGGCAGTTGTCTCTGGGAAAAGTGAAAAATTGGACATCACAGGGCCCTCCTTGGTTTAGCAATAAAATAGTCATAATATAAACTATATAATGAACAAAACGTGGGATGTATGTACATGTACTGGGTGGGTGAATGGAGATGGGGAGGGACAGCAGGTGGTGAATGCAGGGGTGACAGGCACTCTGGGAAGCCTCGTATTCTCTGGATTGAAAATGCATTGTAAGGAGAACCTTCTTCTGTATTCTGGCAGCCAAGCCATTCTCTTCAATGTCAAAAACTGGCTCAGCTTTCAGCTAACTGAACCAGCCTGCATCTTCCTTTTGTGTCTTTGCTTCAATTATCAGCTGGAGGGATAGGAAACAGTATGGTTTTAAATCTGATGATCGTCAGTCAATATTATGGGGAGCTTTCCCTTTCATGGAGGCACCTGAATGCTACTTTGGAATCAGTGTGGATTCTATGGGTATCCTGCTGTTCCCATGCTTTTTCCCCCAGGCTACCTTTCAGGGTCTTTTTCTCGGCTTAAGCAGCCAAACTGAAATTACATATAATAGAAGACTGAGCCACCTTCTCGTTTGGGTAACATTTTCATTTTCCACTTTCACGCAAATGTCTCTGTAATGAGCCTAAATACCATCCTAAGAGGAGGAATGCAAATTAACTTCGTAGCAAAATTCTGCAGCCACAAACATGAACCTGGGAGTTGCTGCTGGTCTAGTGTCTGGGCTCAGGGATACAGCTCCGTGTCCAGGACCCTTTGTCCTTCTGCATGTCTGAAAGGCCAGCAACTGCTTCGTGCGACAGTGTGTGTGCAGCAGCCCCGTGGGCATGCACACTTGGTCGTTCATGTAGCTGCCCAGCAACGGGGCACCCACTTCCCGCATCTCTGGGTCCCTCTAGCACAAATATTAGACAAATTTCGTGAAGTAGGTAGCTGAGATTCTGGATTGAAGAGAGAGGTATTTTTAAAAATTGTTTTTTATTTTGAAGAGCACTAAAAAAATTACAGAAATGTTTAGAATAAAGCAAAGTAAGATGATGTGTGTCAATTTAAGAGTGAAATAATAAATGTGGAGGCAAGTGTGCAAGAGCAGTCCCTGAATGCTCGTCCCTTCTCATGGGCACTGGAGTCATCTAGAGGCCTTGGAAACGGGTGAGTGTGACAGCCCGAGTGCTGGTGTTAATGAGCCAAGGAAAAGCCAGCCACTGAAAACACACTGGCAACCCACCAAGAACTGTGCCATATAATAAAACTGTTTGAGAACCATTAATTTGGTGACTTTATTTTATATAAAAGTTACATTGGAATAAGAGGCTGAAAAGTCAAGTATACTTGATTTTCACATACTTGCCAAGTCTCACAGGATTCAACCACTTTGATAATTTTTTTAAATTAATGAACAGGATATACAGATTAAAAGCCTCACATTGAAGCCCAATACACATGTCCAACCCAGACAACAGATGTGCAAATGAATATGCAAAACAATCTCTGGAAACGCATCTTCTGTTTTGTCCCTCTGGCTGTCACACAGTCCATCCCCTGATAGCTCACACATGTCTGCGGTGACTTAGTCCATTTTAGAAACATCCTACAGCTTTGTTCAGGTGGCTGATTGTGTCTCAAGTAGGTCCCTTTAGTTTTGCATCAGCAGTGGTAGAAGCCCTGATTAGGATAGGGTACAGGTTAATTAAAAACAGAAACAAAACGGTTCACAAATGAACAGAAAGGCGTGAAGACCTGGAGGGTAACACCAACTCTTCTCAGCGTGGGAGGCAGGCGTGAGGGAGCCCCTCAGACTGTCACCAATGGCTTCCTCGTGAGTCCCGCAAAAACATGGACAGACCAGGCAAATTTAAGGCGAGTCCCCAAGGAGGGGAGCTGTTTGCTTTCTGGCATAATTTTAAGCTCTGCACCAAAGGTCCTATGTTATCACTTGTGACGTGAGTAGAGAAACAAACATAAATGATACCCCCCTTCCCCCCGCCCCCCCCCAAAAAAAAATCAAACAAGCTGTTGCCATCCTTAATATTCTCTACAAGTGAGGGATACGGAGTCTGGGGCTTGTTGCCTTGCAGTCCCCTCACCTCCTCAGTGGTGCCCAGAGGTCAGCACCTGCCTCCCCCTGTTTCATGGCTGCTATGTCTGCCCTTCCTCCCACCTACCCACCAAGCTGCAGGAGCCTCAGGGTGCACAAGGTGAAGGCCACCACGAGACTGCACTCTTCTCTCACTGAGGGGCCGTTCACACACCGCTCACTTGGCTGGGAACGAGAAAAGTCAGTTCCAAGGTCCTCACGCACTCAAGATTTTTTTTAAGATCAAATGAATACAGGAGGGCAACAAAGGACCACATAGGAATGATTGTTCTTTGGATCAAGATATTCTCCAGTTTGCAATACATTCATAGTGAACCCCACGGGAGGAGGGTCCCGGGGCAGCTCTCCCTCCCCGCTTCCCTGAAACGTCGGTTTCTAAAAAATAGCTTGTTTGCTGCACACAACCACTAAATGTTACATTGCCTAAACAACACTGTCGATTTTAAAACACATGTGCACATGTGCACGCAGACGCAGACACACACACACACACATGCACGCACGCACACAGACACGCACACACAAACTTGCTGCAGGGTCAAAGAATGCCTCTTCCAGGGCAGTGGGCGTACGTGTACCTGAAGCCGCCTTCACTGTTCAGTGCACAGATATTTTGCAAACTCAGTGCAAAGTGTCAGAGCGAATGGAGACCAAAATGTATTTCTCTGTAAACGCCCCTTCCTGACCGAGGGCGCGCACTAACGCATCACAGGGTCAACAGGAACTCCCTGAAACCACTCATCGGAGAATTCTCGTTCACTGGATTGACTTTTTTCCTTCATGATTGAAAAAAGCAGCTCGGTACACAGGATTTTGATAACCCATGTAATATCCCACACGACTCCTTAGAAAATGCAAAGCACTCTTAACAAAAATCCTAACTGTGCAGGAAGGTAATGACATTTGGCTTCTTCGTGTGGCCACATCCCTTTCGCTAGTTGTACAGGTGGAACACTGATGACAGCATCCAGCCTCCAGTTGCCAGTTTGGAAAGTCTGCACTCTGTGACTGTAAATGTATATAAAACGTTGCTTGCTGCAAGCAACTGGTCTGTGTAGGTTCCATTTGCCCTGTTGGTCACAGATGAGCTGTGGGTACCCTTCTCAGACACCAAATAAATAACTTCAAGTCCATTCACAAGTGCCAACATGAAGCAAGAGGCCTCAAACGGAGAACTCTGGGCCTCCTTTCCTGGGTCTCGTTGGCAGTCGCCTAAATCGGAAGCCGACAAAGGGGTTCATCCAGAGGAGAGAGGGGGGCCCCCCAAAGACGGACTTCATCCCTTCCCATCGGAGCCTCCGCTCCCAAGTCGGCTTCTCGCTTTTCAGCCTCTCGATTTCCTAGAAGCAGAAAGAAGAGCGAGTGGGTGACGGTGCGGAACCCCGACACATCCACGTGAGGCCAAGGGGTCAAGCCGGGGAAAACACCACCAAGCTGCAGAACCCCACTGCAGTGGCGAGCGAGGCGTTCGGGCGAAGTGTGGGCTCTCCTCCCGGTGCTGCCCCCGCGGCCTCCCCAAGCACAGCCAGGCCGTAGCCGTCGGGCCAGACCAACATCACACAGCCGGGCAGTGGCCACCAGCTAGGCGGGCAGCCGGCACAGTCACAGCAGGGCAGGAGGGAGCCGGTCCTCCAGGCCGGGGGCAGCCTTTAATTTATTTATTCCAAATAATGGTTGAGTGCCTGCTCTAGCCCTACAGTTCAAAGGCGTGAACGCAAAGGCAATCGATTCCTGGCCACTCACTCGGCTGCTCCGGGGGCTGGGTCTCCCAGAATCTGGGAACCTGCCTGGCTCTGTTGACTCTCGAATCACACTGATCCCTGAAATAACGCACTGTGCGTAATGACAGGAAGAACAAACACGGCGAAACTGTCGGAACTTATCAAAGCCGCCCAATTAACCTGCTGAGCTAACACACACGCACCTGCTGTTGACATTCGGTTTTCCCATCTACTCAAGCTTTCGCCAAATATTAAGCAAACACGGCCGAGAACAAAGCATACCGTTTCATCATTGCATATGGAGTGGATCTGGGTGCCAAACATAACTGCAGTGAAAGTGAAAAACAGGAGACCCTCAAGGCACAGGAAGATCAACAGGATTACAGTGATTGGAGGTGAAAAATCACTGCATTCTGCGAACAAGAGAAAGTGGGTTGTGACTGGACGTCAATGCATAACAAATCCCCCACACGCCAGGATGTCAGCCTGTTTAGCTCACAGAGGGACCCTCACAGTGACAGTCCCTGGGCCGGCTTCCGGGAAGAATGTGCTCATTCTGTAATGGGGACCTTCACTGTTCACCAAGGGGCGGGGGAGGTCGGCCTTCCCAAGTGAAATTTCCCACCACCATTTCCTGGTCAGCAGTTTGCAAAGATGCCGTACTACCTGAGGTTTCTATTAAGACTGTATCTGTGCACTAAAGTGCTGATTAAAATGCAACCAAAGCCAGAGAAGAAGAGAGGCATGTGTACCTACCCACGGGCAGTACACACGGGCCATTCCCCACCCGCCCCAGGGGCAGGACGAGTCTGTTGGACCCGACTGTATATCCAGGGCTGAACGCTTCACACCCACCTTCACTACGCTCACAGCGAGTCATGCAAGCCAGCTGACCAGAAAACACACACCAGGTCTGGTGGGAACAATATGAACTTCCATCCAGTTTCAAAATCAAAATACAAATGCGACTATTTAGTAGAAATTATTAATTGACTAAGGAAGAACAGTTACATGTTTGGCTTCGTTACACCAGCAAAAGGGCAGTGTTAAAATTTACCCACGTTCTTTTCTTAAAAAAAAAACACAAAAAACTAACTCCTAAAATAACTGCGAGGATTTCTTTCAAAACTGGAAAATCAGTTCTTCCTTTAAAGCTTTCCCCTCTTCACCCAGTAGCACGACTTCCAGGAATGATTACACACACAACCTGAGCTTACCAGTCCACTGCCCTCGGACGCAGGAAATGAACTGGAGCCCACAGAGAATCAGAGCATGGACTGAAGACAGAGCTATGTACATCTGGAACGAGGGAGAAACTGGTTACAACTGGTGAGCAATTACCTATTTCTAGGAGGAAAGGCTGCTTGATCTTATGTTTACTCCTCCATTTTATTCGTCAGTAAAAATGCTTAGGGAAGGAGTCAATCTTGGTAGCTGATGTCAGCCTGCCCAAGATCACACTGGACCAAGTAAAATAATTTCAGATAAAAATACACAGGAGGAAATAAGTTCTAACACACTGCAGGCAAGACCCTATTGAGAACTGCGATTCAAGGTATCTGTGAGAAATTAAATGGCAGTAAAACAGTGCAAGCAACATGTATGTATCTGTTGGACAACTTTTTTTTTTTTTTTTTTTTTAGCTGAGCCATCCTGCCACCTGTTGGCAGCTCACGGCTGCTCAGCTCGGGCTGACTCGAACCGCTGTTGCTCAGAGCTCNAGCTCACGGCTGCTCAGCTCGGGCTGACTCGAACCGCTGTTGCTCAGAGCTCAAACTCTTGAGCGAGCTCTTAACCAACTGAGCCACTCAGCCGGCCCTGGACAACTTCTTACCAATCACAGCACAGTATCGGAATTTGAATCCCGGAGGAAACGTTGCGGAGAAACTGGTCCGCTGTTAGGATAAATTTACTAGCTCCAGGCAAGAGTCTAGTTAAAGCATGGAAAACTCAATATTTAAGTCACTACGTAAATATTTCTACTCACAGTGAAGAGCACAAAAAATCTCTGATTCTTTTCTCCCACACAGTTATTCACCCACGGGCAGTGATGGTCCATTTTCCGAATGCATCTTTTGCAAATACTGAAAAAGACAGGTTTGCTTTTCAGTGTTCCCTGCTCTGAGGGCACACGAGCCCAGGCCACGGGTCCAGTCCACGGGAACTGTAATGCTGGTCAGGGGCTGCTGAGGGGGACACCCTGCCCCAGGGAAGGGGGCCGATACCTGCAGTGGTGCGCGCGCTCGGGCTTGATGCAGCAGCACTTGGGGCACTTGTAGATCACTTCTCCCGGCTTCAGCTGCAAACTCTCCATGTATTCCTTAGTAGCATTCCCTTTGGGTACTGCCCCCTACAGTGTAATAAGAATGGGTTTTTGAGTTTGGGGAGAAGGAAGGGTTAACAATAATCAACAAATGTAGGAATTAGTGTTAGGTTTTACATACCACAAAATATTGGTATTGCTGTAGTTGCCACTAAAGCCTAATTCATATGAAAAATAACTATGACTCAGGCAGGACCAGTTTTATTTTCCGTGAAAAATAACATGCATTAAAATGAACTCAAAATACATGTCTCATTAGCCTTCATACACTGGTAAGTCACCTGAGTTTTTTTGAGCTAGTGCAAGCTACACCAGAGGCAGGGTTTGTTGGTTAAGCCAACTCAAGGGCAGCTGCCTGTCCTGAAAGGGTGCCAGGACGTGCTGTCGGCCCCACTTCCCTATTACCCCGTTCTAATGGGCAGGGTTGGCCTGATAACACTGCCCACACAGCTTCCTATCAGCTGCCGCAGGGGCGCACTTACCAGAACAATCTCACAAAGGACGTGATCTCGTGTTTTCCTAACTAATGCATCTGTGTCTGCCAAACCTACTCAAGAGCACTCACACCGAAACCTGGAAAGTGTGGCCCCAGGACCCGACCCAACTCAGCGTCTGGCATGTGCTCAGGGACTGTAATAGTGCACTGCACATGCCCGAGTGCTGGGGGCACTGGAGACGGACGAGCAATGAGGAAGCAACGGGGAGACCAGTTGGAAAATCGAGCTGATGGCAAGAGGCAGGGCGTTGATGTCCTGGTGTCATACCCACAGAACCATGGAGGCAGGAGGCCAGATGCAGGGAAGTGAGGCCTGTGCAGTGGGCAGTGAGGGCCTGAGTGGGCCGCTATGGGGAAGGCCTTGACCTTCGGGCAGTGGAGAGACGTATGAAAAACATCTTTGGAAGGTGATTCTGGGCGCGGTGGTGCGGTGGACTAAGTGATCTGACTAGAGAGGATGGGGGGTGTTCTAAATGTCTCAACGTAGGGAACAAGGTCTCGATCCCGTTTCTTACCCCCTTGGAGCCTGTACTTCATGCAGAAACGCACGTTTCTGGAGAACGAGCCGCACTGAGCCACTGGGAATAGCAGGCCAGGGGTACAGTGCTGAAGCAGCACAGGAGATGGAAGGGCGGGAGCTAACGGCCCTGGAAGCCTGAGGAGGTAGCGGGTCAGGGGACAGCAAGGGACTCCGCTGACCAGCAGGAGCAGCGCTGGAGCTCTTTAAGGCCTGGGTGCACAGGCCGGACACTGCAGCCAGCTCCGAGCCTCTGCAGGGAGAGAGCTGACACACATTTGAAAAAGTTCTGCAGGCAAGTGTGCCGCAGTCTGGAGGCTGAGGACCATGGGTTCCAAGGCCCCCAGTGAGCCAGACACCCTTGAGCCCCATCACCAGCAGGAAGTAAGGCCTCCAGGAGGTGCCCTGTGGAAGTGGGGACAGGAAGGACTTCGGGCAAAATGTGAATGTTCCCTGCCCAACTCTCCACTAGAGCTGATTCCCTCCCAACAAGCATCCGTCAGTTTCATTGTCCCAGCATGGGGAAGCTGTTTTGGTCAAGGCCCTAGCGTTTTGTAACACTCAACGTGTCTCCTTAAAGAAGGTAAAAAAACGTTAAGGGTTTAAACTCCTGTGAAAATTTAGAATGTTGGGCACACCATTTTACTTAATTTACATACTGGAATTTGGAGCCTTTCATGTTGCCTCTACAAATGCAGTCTTTAACGCTGTTTCGGTTTTATAAAATACCACGATGTTGCATATACACTCCTGGTGACAGTTCAACGTCACACATTTCCATAATAAGAGGAAATGGACCAGATTTTAAATTCCACACACCTTAATTTTTGTGAGACACACATGTACTCTTCCATAATATAAAAAAAATAAAAATAAAAAAGTGATAGAATATCCTTCTGAAAGGCAGAACATCCTAACACTACCCACTGTTTTAGGAAATCGCTTATGACTTCTTTTACTGAAGAAAGCTGTGTATTTCCAAAGGGGCGCCACAAACAATTGTTAGGTGATAGTTAGTGACTATAGATCCACGCTGGAGTGTAAGGCATTTTCTGGTTCCAGGCACTCCTGCCTATGACCCTGGGCAGCCAATGAACCTCCTCACGGCCATGTCTCCTCAAGGCTTCAAGGTGGATTTCCCGGAGGCCCCGCAGTCCGTGACTTACACCTTGACTCTGCGTCTTTCGAGACATGCTCTCACAGACCAGGCACCAAGCAGGTCTGGCGCCCGTGCCCGGCTCGCACCACCGGAGCTGGCTCTGTTCGCAGTCCCCCTCCCTGCCCAGCACCAGGGTCCTTGCCAGGTCACAGCAGGAGGAGCGCCCGTGTCCTCCCCACCCGTCGGGGCCACTCTTCATTCCATCCAAAGAAACTTTCCAAACAGCTGAGGTACATGCCTCAAATTTGTATTTGAACCGTTTTCAGGGGATGTGTTTTCTAGAACGCACCGTGCGTGTTTCATGCCCATCTCCCTGAGACTGCGAGCCCGGCACCAGGCCACAGCCGTGCCTTTAGACTGCTTCCTGCCCGAACGGCCCCACCGCTCCCCTTTTGCACAAAGTTCTCCTAAAGGCTCTTTGATTTACTGCTGCCTCTTCTAGTGCCTAATCTCACACGCGGCCCTCATTCACCTCTAATCCACCAAGGAGAAGGAAACCAGACACCCAAGCTTAGGAAAAGTGCTGCCAACCCCGTCACACGTCCAGGGAAGTTACACTTTTCAAAGCACATTTTCTTTCTTTTTCTCATATAGTTCCTTCTCGACCCGCCCCCAAATTTCCTGTCATGCATGAGCCCTAGGACCTAACCAAGGGGAAGTGAAGCACAGGGCTTTCCCCTGGATCTCCCTACTAATTTACGGGAAACTCAGGGGGGATGAGGAACACGTTAAAATACGCACAGGGACATAAGCTGAAAATTCCAGAATGGGAGGAAAGCTACAAGACAAAAACTGTTTCTTCAATTTAAAAATCCCGAGAGAAAAAGAGAAAGGGGACCACAGAGATGAAAAGAGGTATGAGAGACATCAACCAGCCGCAAAGTACAGACCTTATTTGGATCCTCATTCAAACAAAGAAGAAGGTGAAAGACGCGAGGCAGCTGACAGGACCTGAACTCTGCCTGGACAGGGCGTAAGGAGTGAGGCCGCTGCCCCCGGGCCCATGGGCATCGCAGCTATGCTTTTACAAAGAAAAGCCCTTACTTTTTAAAGATACACATAAATATTTACGAATAAAGTTTTATAGTATCTGAGATTTACTTCCAAATACTCGGGGGGGGGGGCCAGGGGGCAGCTAAGTGAGGGTAGCCTGACACAAGACTGACCATGAGGTGATAACTGGGGTTCATGACACTGTTTTTTTCTCTACTTCTATATATGTTTGAGATGTAAGAATTTAACAAAAAGTGGGGGCTTTAGAGACAGACAAATCTTGTTTCAATCCCAGCTCTGTCTCTTTGCTAGCTGTGGGGTCTTGCTTTTGGATGTGGATTTACCACCCACCTCTTCCAGGTGCTGGAGGATTAATGAAAGAATGCCTTTGGCAGGGCGCCTGGAACAGGACCAGTGGCTCCTCAAAGGGGGCCCTTCACTGGATACTCAGCAAATATCTGCTGAGAAGGCTGATTAAAAAAAGAAAACAGGGTGAGGGGCTCTGGGTGAGGGTCTGTGGGCTCTGGGGGAGTGGGTGGCCCCTTTTCAATCACTCAGTGTCCCCTGACAGTTTTAAGTTCTCGGTGTGTTTCCGAATGTGAAACTGGTGCAAGTCTCATCTTCCAATAGTGTGGGGGGAGGAGGCTTGCTGCTTTATTATCAGATCTCTGCTCCCTCAAATGTCATGGACCCCATCTTCTTCCCTGCTCCTCATTCAAAGTACCAATGACATTTCTCAAGTAACAACCAAACCCAAAGCTAGCAAAGACTGACTTGGTCCTACTGGTTTAACAGAATGACATGAAGTCCCAGGGGGGTATCGGCCCCGCCCTGGGGGGGGGTGATGGTTCTAATTCAGCCCAGACTGTACCCTGAGATGGTAAAGCCGTGCTCTGTAGAGAGAAGAAAGCAAACTCCCTGTTGAGAGGACAAAGAGTGGACACCTGACCCTGCTGGGCCACGCAATCTCTTCTTTAGGAATGTGGGTTTGGAACTTAACGATCCCAATACTAGCTGGTCTGTGGGGCTACCCTTCTTCACTAGGCAGCAGGGAGAACAAGGATGCTGAGCAAGAGAGAATGCCCGAGGGACAGAGGAAGCCCGAGGGGCCTGTCCGTCTCTCTCCTCGGTCTACCTCTCTAACAGCATCCACATCCCAATTCTGCAGCCTTCTGGGGCTCTTGGCAGGATTTTTGCCCCTGGGTCCCTCAGTGGTTTCTGTAACTTGCCACCAGTGTCCTAATATGTGGCACGGCTGAAACAGTGACACCTAAATGGACAGAGGACTTGAATGGACGGTTGTCCAAAGACATAGGAATGGCCAAGAAGCACATGAAAAGATGCTCAGCATCGTGAGGGAAGTACAAATCAAAACCACAGTGAGGTACCACTTCACACCCATTAGGGTGCCTACGAGAAAAAACGATGAACAATAACGTGAGGATGTGGAGAAACTGGTCCCTCATGCATGGCTAGTGGGAATGTAAAGTGGTACAGCCGCTGCGGAAAACAGTCTGGCAGTTCCTTAAAAAGTTAAACGTAGAGTTGCCACGTGACCCAGGCATTCCACTCCTAGGTATCGATCTACCCAAGAGAAGTGAAACATATGTGTAGGTCTACACGAAAAACTGGTCCGCAAATGTTCATGGCAGCAATATCTGTAACAGCCCCAAATGGAAACAACCGAGATGTCCATCAACTGGTGATGTCCATGAACAAAATGGGGGTCTAACCATCCACTGGAATATTATTCAGCCATAAGAAGGAATGAGGTTCTGACACGTGCTACAACATGGATGTACCCTAAAACCTTATGCTCAGTGAAGAAAGCCAGATATAAAAGGCCACATATTGTATGATTCCGTTTATATGAACAGTCCAGAACAGGCAAATCCACAGAGACAGAAAGTAGATTAGTGGTTGCCTAGGGCTGGGAGAAATGGAGGACTGGAAGTGATGGCTAAGGGGTGGCATAAAACGTCTAAACTTGATTGTAGTGATGGTTGCACAACTCTGTGACTACACTAAAAATCAGTGGGCTACTCGCATACACTTTCAAAGGATGAATTCTGTGGTGTATGAATTAAGTTTCAATTGAAAAACTCTGATCTCTGAACTCAAGATCTCAGCCTTCTCCTCTGCCTGGGTCCTGGTCCCTTCTCAGTGCTCCCGTGTGATACTTTCTGCCGCGAGGCAGCAAGCAAAATGAACCGCCCACCAGGAACAGAGGCAGCGCCCCGCACACACCTCATCATCACCACCTCATCTTCCCCAGCTCTTGGGGCTTAGAGTTTAGAGGCCTTTTCCCAGCAGAGGAGAGGGTGTGGAGACAGGCGCTGGACTGCCAAGGAGTGAGGGACAACTATGCTTGGTAGAAGCAACACACACACTCTGATGAGGAACCTCAGCCTGGTCACATTCCAAACTGGGGGCCGTTGGATGGAGGTGGTCCCAGCACCAAAATGCCTACAATGGATGGACTCGGCCTCGTTTTCAACATCCAGGAAATGGTCAACACTAACAGAGCTTTTCCTACCGTGAATATTTGAGTAGAAATCGTTAATCTTGGCCCTATCCCTGTAACTGCCCAACCTGTGACCTGAGTACCTGATGTGTGGGTTTCTGCTGCGGCAAGGAGAGGGGACAGAGGGACACAGGGGACAGGAGTAGGGTTTGGTTCCCAGAGCGGGGCTTGGCTGCGTGAAAGGAAAGGAGAAGAGAGTCCTTTAAGAGTCTCTGAAGGACATCAGATTGGGCGAAATCAGGTGAGGCTATGAAACTATGGGCAGACTTGGCTTCAAATTTGTCCCCTAAGTGCTGCTCCCACCTGCCCACCTGGCTGGATCTCTCAAACGGTCCTTGGCCTAAGACCTCTACTAGATGCCTAGAGATCATAGCCAACCTTTAGTCCAAAGAAGCTAAATTATTTGGCTATGGTCAAAAGGCAACTGACAAGAGTAGTACAGCGGTTAAATCTAGATCCCAGGTTTCTCAGCTTTCAGTCTATTCTTTAGAGAAACAAAATATTTAAACTAGGAGGGATTTTAGAAATTAGTACAATCTCTTCATTTGAATAAACAGCCCATTGGGGATATTTTTCATTAACATACCGTGATAACTGCGTTTATTTGAGTGATGCTTATTGTCCAGTTAAGACGTAAACAATGCTACGAGCCCACATCCGGGAATTAATAAAAACCTGAGGTTAGAGGAGCAAGAGGCCCCTCGCCACACGGTCTGTGATGTCACACTAGACCAGACATGAGAGAAAGCTCCAGCGAGACAGCGAGTACTCACGGGGTCGGTGAGCATGGTTCTCAGGTGAGAAGACAGGGCGAGCACCGCTAAGCAGTTAAAAATGACCCCGTTGACCACAGAGTACCAGAAGTCTTTGGAAGGCAGCAGCATGACAAACGTCACCACAAAGTCCGCATAGACGACCAGGAGCCACGTCATGACGGCGCAGATCATGCCGCAGCCGTCGCGGATGAACCAGACCCTGTCTGCCACGTCAGCCTCGGAGGAAGAGGAGGACGAGGAGTCGTAACTGTCATTTTCAGTCAGGAGCGGATGGTGTTCGACATCGCGGAGCCGGTGTCCTGAGGACGGCATGATGTCCCCGACGCACCCTACAGGGGGATGGGACACAGAGCAGATGAGGCAACCAAGGAGCACGCCGTCGCCCAGGGCTAGCTACGCCACTCATGGACAAAGATAATGAAAAGAACAAGCCAGATGCAGAATCACAGACCCCAAGTGCCCAAGCCACCGTGGACATGAAGCTTTACCACTGCTGCCGTCCACTGTCCATGCCACCAAGCCCCGTGTGGCCTGATCTGCCTGTGGAGGTTCTCAGTTCACCTGACAGCTCTCCCCCAGAGAGACCACCAGCACGGTGCAACAGCAACGGAAACAAGACTGTTGCTCTACTCATGTGTAGGCTGGCCCACCAGCCACTGAGCTCATAGTTCTTACCCGGGTTTTCTCAATGTGCTTCTCAGTCTCCCTCATTTTAACTCTGATAACATGTGATCATTTTTTTGATGCAGTCTCCCATTTTTGTCTCTATCTTCTTCAACTCTATACTGTTTCTAGAATGCCCTTCCGCTCTATTTTAATCTTCTAAAGTTTCCTTCACCCACCCATTAATCCATTCTTTTCACACCTTTGCTGTATTTCCCAAAGTCACTGATACCTGGCACAATATAATAGGGTGGCATGAAATGAAAGAGAAACTTGCACTTTTCCTAGTAACTTGTTTTGCTGCTTCTTTAAACATAGGACCATCTCTTATCGGTGTTTGATATAAGAGTACTAATACTCGTGATAAATAAAGACAAGGGAAATTAAGTCAGAGATCATTTGGCCTCAGTGTTTGTACAAGGGATAGAAAAACACTGACAGTGCTTTATCAAATGACCCGGGTGCTTTCTCAGCGCAGGCATGCTGCTTGTCTTTCAAACAAGAACAGAGTCAGAGACCCTCCCCAGTGTAAAGGAGCAGGAGTGATGAAAACGACTGCTCTTGGAATCTGGGCATTACTTTTTCTCTTAAATGCAACTGGAGTGTAGTAATTACAAAAACATTTAATGAATGAATGAACCTCCTGATGAGAGTTCATTCTACAAATATTTTGCAGAATTCCCTCTCAATTTAAAAATATGGACTGGCACAAGTGAGAAAAGGAATTGTTCCTCACGGTCAGTAAAATACCCCTGTGCTCTTAGATCAGACAAAACCAGCTTTAAAATTTTTTAAGTGAAATAGAAGAAACAAAGACAAGAATTCGGGGACGCCTTAACCAGTCATTCTTTCAGCTAGCACTGGCTGAATCCTACGTCACCCAGATTTGTCTGCCCCCCTTCCTCTGCAAACACCTCTACCATCCTCTCTAACCCCACTCACCCCAGAGCATCTAATATTTCTCTCTTCCAAGCAAGTCATCCCCAAAAAGCAGTTCTCCTTCCTCTGAGGAACACTTTGGAAAGGGTCTCTGAACATCAGACATGACTACCTGGAGAGGACGGTGCAAACTGGTTCTGCCGACACCACCGTAAAGCCTGATTCTGTCAGGGGCCGAGACTGTATCTGGAAGCTTCTCTACTTCCCTTGAACTATCAGGCACACTCATCAGTTCTACGTGCAGTGTAGTTACCACTTTCTACCATACGAAAGCTTCTGTGTCTCCCTCCCTGACTGCCAGCCCCCCAGTAGGAGGGTCTCTCCCTGTGCTTCCTGTCTGTCTGCCTGCTGTTGGCAAGTGCCTGTGTTTACAGGCAGGCGCAACAAATTGGCACCTCTCTCAGATTCGAACAGTTTCCTAGTGATTTCCATAAGCGTTTCTTTTTTTGTTTTTAAAGATTTTTTTATTGGAGAGTTGGGGAGGGGAGCAGTGTTGGGGAATTGGGGAAGGGGAACATTTGTGTTTTTCCAGGACCCATCAGCTCCAAGTCAAGTTGTTGTCCTTCA